CTTCGTAACTGAAGTGCTCGATATCAAGAGGTGTAACAGTAGCTACCCTTCATTACTCCCAGGAATTTCGTTTTTACCCGTACAGTGTAATTTATTTCTGTTTACCGACGTCTGGCCTACAACTTGGTGACACAGCCTACTGATTGACTTTGTGATAAAAGCTTCAAGTATATCTATCTAATATTCTTCCAACGAACGTGTGGGTAACTTCAATTATTGTTTTCCTCGAGTCACTATGGCAGTCTTTCAAAAGTATTTACTCACTAAAACCTCTACGGAACAAGTGACTATAATTTGTCAACCTTTCAGATGTCAGACAAGCTTACGAATAATGCTTGTCTTTTTTTTAAACATAGGAAAGAAAACATTGAAAAAACAAAAGATTATCGCGTCGTTAACGTCATCCAACCTCACAAACAGATAAAAACTGTTAAGATGTTTTGAAAAAAAGCTTCAATGTCCACTTTTATTTTTAGATACGCTGTCTCCCTGAAAATGAGCATTTTATACCATAAATACAGTGTACATTAAAACTATATTTTTATCATATATATCTATGTGTGTGTGCGTGTATCTGTGTGTGTGTGTGCGTACAATAACCCACCACATGTTCCTTTTTTATTATTACTGAATACTTTTTATATCTTCTTAGAAAAGTAGGATGTTTCTCGTTAATTTCTCCAACGTTTAATGAGGTGTATAGTCATTTTATTTATTGGCACTTTCTCCTAGGTCTAAAATTTATTTAACTTTCAATGTAGTATCTGTCTATATTTCTGAGATAAGGTATTATGTACACTATTTACATTATTCGGACTATTGTCCTCATCTTTGTCACCATATTTATTACAACGTTTCCGCCTTTCAGTATCTGTCTATATTTCTGAGATGAGGTATTATGTACACTATTTATATTATTCGAACTATTGTCCTCAACTTTGTTGCCATATTTAACACAACGTTTCGGCCTTTCAGTATCTGTCTATATTTCTGAGATGAGGTATTATGTACACTATTTACATTATTCGGACTATTGTCCTCAACTTTGTCACCATATTTATTACAACGTTTCGGCCGTTGTACGCTCCGGCCTTCATCAGGTGGTTGAAATGTCGAACTGAACCCTTTATTTCGCTCACTGGGATAGACTGTTCTAGTTCCACGTGCCATGTTTTAATGGATGTCAGTTATCAGTTATCTCCTGTTAATTCCCTTCTCCAAGTTATCTACTGCCTTAACCGGGTATTGAACTCACATTGTTTGGGTCCTGTCATTGGATTTTGGAGAAAGAGGACACTTTGTCGTTAGTGCATTATTGACACTGACAATAAATCTAGCCGAACCTACACTTAGTCATAAATAAAGGGAGTCCTCTTGGACTCTTTTGATGTAGAATATAATTCAGTAAAGTAGTTTAATAGAGGAAAGAAAATTGAATATATATATATAATGAAATGGACAAAGTCAGACAATTATTTTAAGACATTTTTATGTTTAGATACAAATATTTAAGTAAATGCTCAGTTTATGATAAACACTATCAAACAGCATTTACCGGCCTGAATGTCCGAGAAATTTTCACAGAAAATATTCGTCCTTCGACAGGATTCGAACCTGTATCCTATGCGGAACCACCATATAGCCTCGCGTGCCTTTAACCGATATGGCGACAGAGGAGCGTTCGGTTAGCAAGGTCGATTTTACTGTCTTTAAACTACAATCTTCCATGATTTTTTTACGTACATTCATATCTGCTCATGGCGTATCCAAATGTAAACAAATATATAAATTTTTTGGACATTCAGGCCGGTAAATGTTGTTTAATACTGCTTATTATAAACAGAGCATTTACTTAAATATTTCTATCTATAAAAAGAATGTATAAACATAAAATGTCTTAAAATAATTGTCGGACTTTGTCCATTTCATTATATATATATATATATATATATATATATATATATATATATATATATATATATCGCTCACTGGGGTAGACTGTTCTAGTTCCACGTGCCATGTCTAATGGATGTCAGTTATCTCCTGTTAATTCCCCTCTCAAAGTTCTCCACCGCCTTAACCAGGTATTGAACTCACACTCTACTGAGCCGACTAAGCATAGAAATGAATACAATATGGAAACCAGTAATAAGGAGTGACAGAAAAAAGCGATAACAACAAAAATTGCAATATGAGCTCTGGTAAAAAAAAACATGCACTGATAACAGCAAAAATTGCAATATGAGCACTGGTAAAAAGTGATGTCTGAAGACATTTGGTTTATAATACCCAGAAATTCATGCACAGATGTCCTCAAGGGCACATGGCACAATGGATAAAAGCGTTGGTTAGATCCAGTGACAGGACCCAAAGAGTGTGAGTTCAATACCTTGTTAAGGCAGTGGAGAACATTCAGAGGGAAATTAACAGGAGATAACTGATAACTGACATTCATTACATTGGAACTAGTGAGCGAAATAAAGGCTTAAGTTCGACATTCCAACCGCCTGAAGAAGGCTGGAGCGTACAACGGCCGAAACGTTGTGATAAATATGGCGACAAAGTTGAAGACAATAGTCCGAATAATGTAAATAAAGCCTAAACTATATTGATATTTAACACATATAGTATGAAATATAGTTATGAAATGGATTCTTTTTTTTATCATTGACTCTTGTGCGAAAATGAATACTTCTGACGAGGCTGGAATTTGATCTCGGCTCGCCGACTGCAATGTCTTGATGGAATTTGAACTAAGCTCGTCGATTTCAATTTATTTGACGATAACATTTATGCTAGCTGCACTGTCTACATAGAAAACTGAATAAAAACTTAGATGGATACACACGCATTCGAAAAATCTAAAGCCACTGCAAATATTGATAAAGGCTTTTAAACTGGGCTATAAATAATTATGAGAATATTTTTACAAACTTCCTAAGACGCAAGCAATTAATTAAAACCTTATCTTCAATTGGCACGTTCTTTTACGTTCATAATTTATTGTGATATTCAAATAAGTTTGCTAAATTCCGGCCCCCGACAGATACGTACACAGACGCAAAGCCCGTCGCAAAGATATTTTCATGTGAGCTTAAAATTCAATTAACTACATTAACACACGTCTTAATTCGGTGGTGCATGTGGCCAGGAGTAGACCGAGAAGAAAGACACAACAATCACTCAAAGGCAGGCTGGACATTAAAATCAAATCTCACCCACACTTCATCAAGAAAACGTGGAATATGCGTCTATTGTCTTCTATGGCGTGATGCATCGTTATTAATACATACATACGCGCAGATAAAAATTAAATCGATTTCAAACGATGGATTTATACTTCCTACTTGAGCAGATTGACCAACGGACTGTGTTCGGGACGTGGAAGACCATGGCTTTTCAATCTTCCCTATCTTTTTGCTTTTATCAATGTTTGTATTTTTATTATCCCTCCAAGATTGTTCTGCCATCTATTTGAGCAAGGTTACTCGCTGTTACCCCACTGTTTCTTCTGCTTTTAATATGTCCCGTTTGTCTGTTTTGTTTGTTTATCGGCATATAAAATCCTCAAGGGTCATTTAATGAATAAAAATTTAATTTAAGCATCAGTAATTTCTTTTACAAAAATGTCTTGCTGGTATTTTTTTTTAATGTCCTGCCGGCAGTTACCAACTTGCTCCTCTTCTAAAACATCCTATCATTACCATGAGCAACAAGGCAAATCTCATCAACGCCATTTTCCTACCAACTTTAACATAGCAGTGCCAGACATGGCCCCTAACAAAAACCCTAGAGAGGAAACTGATAACTTGTAAGATGAAATGCCTGAGGAAAACAATGAACAAGACCAGGCGACACAAAATCAGGAATGAGGCAATACCAATCATGCAACACATCGAACGACAGCGGATCAAGTGGTTCGGACACCTCAAACGTATGTCTATCAACCAACCAGCCCTACAAGCATACACCCTCAGGTACTCTGGTTAGAGATCGAGAGGTAAACCAAGAAGACGCTGGAGCGACTCAGAGCCGACAAGATATCTGTCCTCCAGGCCACTCACCTTGTCGCTGATAGAGGACTGTGTCTCCCCGCGACACCTTACAGCACAAGCTGAAGGAAAAACTAAAACTAAACTAAACTGCTGGTAATTTTCCTTTTACAAGAATGTATTGCTTTATTATATTTTGGGGTATAGGACGGTTGCGTACCTGGGTATGCCGAGAAACTACATCTAGCAATTATCCAAGGACGCATTTGTCTAGAGACGCAAGTGTCTAGGGACGCAATTGTCTGGTACGCAATTGTTCGGGAAGCGAAGGCCCAGTAAGCAACTGTCCGTCTATCTCTTTTTATATAAAAATGTATTGATAGTAATATTATTTTTACCTTATAAAAATATATTGCTGGTAATTATTTTGCTATGAAAATTTATTGCTGGTATCTTCCCTATAAAATATCTTCTTACACTTTCATAGTATCTTGTCTCCGGTTTAGAGTTTCCCTATTTGCGCATAGCTGGGGCTTTAATAGGTGCTACCAGCCCAGGTCAGGGTGAAATTGGGAACAACAGCAATGAAGGTTCCACGGTCCTCAAAACCACCTGATCAGAGGCCTTGTGACTTATGTAGTTTATCGTCATGCTCAGGGACGAATATGCCCTGTGAAAGTCATATTTTTTAAGATTTCTTTTCCATATGTGTGTCTTAGAAATTTCAACTGATTCTAAGCATCAATAACCATTTTGTTTCCATCCTCCTTTAAACATCCTTGCTGACTAAAAGACCCATCATTCTCAGTATCCGCCTGTAGAGCCATATGTATATTGCCTCAAGTCTTGCCTTCATCTATAAAAAAATTATACATCATTCAATTCCCCATTGGAGGATTGAGCCCACTAGCGATAGTTTCCTGTTTTTTAATACTTAGTTTACTTTTTGTATTCCAAATTGCCTTCTGATTTCGATTACATTTTCCATCTTAGGAAAATTCTTACTTTAGGACCATATCACGTTGAAACACCGATTCCCGTACGATCACCGAAGTTCAGCAACGTCGAGCCTGGTTAGTACATAGATGAGTGACTGCTTTGCAATATCAGCTGTTGTAAGCTTGGTTATTCTAATGGTGTAATGGATAAAGGCACGGAATTGTAAATCTGAAAACCAAGTTCCAATTCCAGTTGGGTTCGTTATATTCATATACACGCGAATGCCATTGGGAAAGGTACGAGTCCATTTCTTCTCTCCAGTATGTCATTCAGTCAGTTATATGCCATTCGTGATAAACGCTTAGGCGATCATGTATCTTTCGATACATGACTGACGAGGCAGATTTTTCCCCCGCAGCAGTTTGCCATTTCTTTCTGCGATAGACCAGTTGCCATCCAAGGCTATAGAACCCGGTCTGCCCTGTTATTTACCCATAGCTGGGGAGGGAGAAGAAGAGGATTCATACCTTTTCCAAGGGTATTAGCACGTAAATGAATGTAATGGATTATCTCTAAAAAGTACATACCATATGAAAATATTTTTCTGGTTTTAAGTAACCTGCAGACAAATAAATAAATCAGAAAAGTATGTATATCTTTGATTTTAATATCGCCACTTCGTGATAGGCCAAAACTATCTGCTGACTGTCAATTTGCCAGTCAAAAAACTGAGTGTCTTTAAATGGTCGTCAGGGTTGGTTGGTTGGTTGTTTTGTTTTGTTTTATGGCATATCAAAACCTCAGTGGGTCATTTAATGCCAACAAAATTTTTGAAATAGATTCATAGCGATAGTTTGGTAAAAAAGGGTGTTACTCACTTCGTTTGATTTGTTTTGTTTTACGGCATATCAACACCAACGGATCATTTAATGCCGACAACCTTTTTTTTTTCCTGGTAATATTTTGTTTTGTTAAAAATCTATTGCTGGTAATAATGTTTCCTCAAAAATGTATAGCTGGTAATTATTTTCAAACACGTATTGCTGGTAATATTTTTTTTCAAAAATATATTGCTGGTAATAGTTTATTTTTCTTCAAAAATTTATTTCTGGTAATAATTTTCTACAAAGTATTTCTAGTATTAAAACCTATTTTTACACTTTTAGAATGCTTTTTACCTCAGTTTCGAGGTTAACTATTTGCCCATATCTGGGACCCAAACAGGTTCTACCACCCAGGGTCAGGGTGGACCTAAGAACAACAGCAAATAGGAGGTGATTCCACGCTCCTCAAATCCTCATGATTAGAGGATTTGCTGTTGGATGTAATTTATCCACTTACCCTGTACTCGGATGTAGTTTATCGTCACACCCAGGACTAGGTCATCAGGGTATCATGCTGAACGTTTCGAGGCATTTTTCTGGACTATGGACTTACTTGATGCTGATATTTGTTAGTTAGCCTGCAGAATTTAGTAATAAAATTCACAGCAGTTACACTGAAATAAAGAAAGGCATACGTACCCACGCACTCCTAAATTTACTAGCGTATCCAGCGAAAAGATATTCACATGCAAATCTTTTATGCGGATGTGGGTGTATAAATAATTCATTCAGTGTCGCATGGATATCTTGAGGCAGATTGTCTGAGTTTGAATCAATACGAACATGATAAGAAGAAAAATCGGTTATTTTTTATTCTTTACCAACTTTTGGGCTTTTTTTTCCGTTATTTATTTCTGGAAACTGAACAAAAAGTTCCCGAAATACACCCACCATAATTTAGAACTAAACTTATATAATTCCTCAAGAAAGACAAAAAATAACTGAAGCATATATTTACGCATCCACTGAACATTGCAAGTACTTGCTCCAATGAATCTGAGTAGATTGGATCGATGTAATATATATATATATATATATATATATATATATATATATATATATATATATATATATATATATATATTTTAAACAACACAGACGTCATACCTTAGGTACCTTTTAGGCCAACACTTTTTCAAAGATATTCGTTGGCAATTGGGAAAACAAATGAAGACAAACTCAATAAAAGTAAATGATTAGGGTAAGGCGGAACGCGATTAAAAGAGAAATTTTAATTACACAAAATTAAAAGTTAGACAATGGGAGGGTGAAAATAACCAGTTCCACAATATTACAAAATGGAAAAAGGACACTCACAAACCCACCCAGCAAATGCAAGGGACGTAAAATGATACTTTTGTTTAAAGCTATGTTTTATTTCTTTGGGTACAAATCACTTTATATATATATATATATATATATATATATATATATATATATATATATATAAAAACAGAGTGTAACAGCAAAATTGTCCAAATCGTATAAAAGCAAATTCCTCCATTTGTTAGATTAAGCCTTGAACCGTTGTATCTTAGAAATGATTAAAGATATCTTACTGGAATTCTCCGGGGATTTTCTAACACTATTGAACTCTACTTTGATTAATAAGAATGTATAATTACCCAGCTTAACAGAAGAATCCTGTTGAGATCAATCATAAACGAAAATGATATGTTCATCATTAATTCATTATAGCTAAGCGTCGAAAGCTTATGAAAGAATGAAATAAAGTTCATATATATATATATATATATATATATATATATATATATATATATATATATATATATGTGTGTGTGTGTGTGTGTATATTGTTCCAGGATCATTTTTCAGCTAATTCAAGATGATCTTCGCCCTCTATAACCTTCTAATTTTCTGTCCTGGAGTAACAAGGTGCCTCACAGATTTCACGTATGATTTAATTTTCAAGTCTTTTTTCACTGTTCTGTCATAGCCGAAACTCCTCTCTCACGTCCCAAAACTCTTATGGATTGAGTTGGATCTTTTCTAATTGATCCCTTTGGCTTTAAGTTGAAATGCTGATCCCCTTCCTGTTGTGACCTCCTGATCCAGTTTTATCTCTCTACTGTCGCTCTTTTTTAAACTTATTCACCATTCTCTTGATGGTTCTTGAATAGACTTTGAAGATGCAAGCCAGTGTATGCATGCTGCTACAACTACTGAAGGCCTGACTGATCATTTCCCTCACACTTATGCTCAGTTGGGAAGACAGTTGATCTGATACACAATGATTTTAACCTGTTCTCTTTCTAACTGAATGGCACAATAGGGTTTTCCAGTCGTTCTTTCGACAAATGATGCCAAGATGGCTAAAAGGATTATCTGAAAACATGGAAAAAAGAAACTCAAATAGTTTAGTGTTTTTTTTAATATTAATATATTAATATATTGTGGGATGAACAACTATATATATATATATATATATATATATATATATATATATATATATATATATATACATACATACCGAGTATAACAATACATATATATATATATATATATATATATATATATATATATATATATAAACACACACACACACACACATATATATATATATATATATATATATATATATATAGTCATCCACGGACAGCCTGTTTCGCAGCTCACCATTGTGGCTAGAAATCCAATTGCTTCAAGCCGAGATCAAAACTCGACTGATTTGCCATCAGTCAGGGACTCTTAATACTAGGCTATCAATGCACGCGACAGAAAGGATTTTTAACGCATTATGTACGTGCTATATAAACGCCATACCGATCCCCATAGCGCACAGTTCTTATAAAGAGCGATGCATTAAAGCAGCAGCAGCCGTTAAAAGTTCCATTTGCTCCATAGTGATCAATCGGCGAACGAGAGCATAGTTATTCACAGACAGCCTGTTTCGCTGTACCACAGTTTATCCGTGTGGCAAGGCACCGGAATGCTTCAAGCCGGGATCGAAACTCGACCGATTTGACATCAGAGTCAGAGATTCATATTCAATGAGTTATAAATTTCCTTTGTGTATAGACTGAACTCACCAATCTCTTTCGACGTATCAATATTCAGAAGCTAAGGTTTTATAGAACAGAATAACTAGACTTCCCGTACACATGATTTGATCATCAAGTGAAGTATTTATACAAAACTTCCATACTTTACGGAAGAATCGAATATAGTGAACTGTTTGCACGAAGTGTACACAACGTCAGATGATACAAGGTCAAAAGTCACAAGGTCAAAAGCCACTAGATCAAAAGCGAGACAAATTTGGAACGCGGCTTTGCGCATACATCATCTCCGACAATGCTTAACCCTCTGGCTAATTTTGCTCACGTCCATTGTTTCGTCGCTTTCAGTAAAAATCCTCCATACTTTTCATACAAAACCTCCATCTTTTTCGGAAGATCCGAATATAGTCTACTGTTTGTAGGAAGTGTACCAAAGATCAAAAGCCACTAGGTCAAAAGCCATTAGTCAAAAGCCACTAGATTAAAAGCAACAAGGTGAAAAGCGAGACAAATTTGGAATGCGGCTTTGCGCATACATCAACTCCAACAATGCTTAACCCTCTGACTAATTTTGCTCACATTCACTGTTTGGTTGCTATGCACTTTCAGCAAAAACCTACATAATTTTCCTACAAAACCTCCATATTTTTCGGAAGAACAGAATATAATAAACTGTTTGCAGGAAGTGCTCCAAAGATCAAAAGCCACTAGGTCAAAAGCCATAAGGTCAAAAGCTACAAGGTCAAAAGCGAGACAAATTTGGAACGTGGCATCGACAATGCTCAAACGGATAACCTTCTGACAAATTTTGCTCACATCTTCTGTTTGGTCGCTATACACTTTCAGCATGCGTCGTACGGTAGATCTTCTGTTGTAATTTTGAAAGTCTTTAACCATCTTGTGGCATCATTACCATCATCATCACCATCAGTCCCACGATCGAACGTGGTAGTAGGTCACTAGGCAAATGAGAACCTAACAAGAGATCCCTCGACATATATGAACTGAAAGCCGGAGAGGCATTCATTCATGCGTCTCAAGGTGAAATTGCAGTCGATGTTCTCGAATTTGAAATCTTCTCTTGATTACGGACCCGTGGCTGTTGGTTCCACCGGTGGGTGGGGAACCCTCCGTCCTGGCCGTTGATTCCACCCAGCAACGCCGCGTCATCACCGCACTGGCTGGATACATAATCCATGGAGCTGGATGGCTGTTTACCCTACGAAGAAGGTTCATCCGCCCTTTGACAGGTATTGTATTTAATCCTACTGCGTGTC